GGAGCAGTGGGTCCCTCCCCTGAGCAGAGATCCCGGGAGGAGCAGTGGATCCCTCCCCTGAGCAGAGATCCCAGGAGGAGCAGTGGATCCCTCCCAAGCAGAGATCCCAGGAGGAGCAGTGGATCCCTTCGGTGAATCCCTCCCCTGAGCAGAGATCCCGGGAGGAGCAGTGGGTCCCTTCGGTGGATCCCTCCCCTGAGCAGAGATCCTGGGAGGAGCTGTGGATCCCTTCAGTGGATCCCTTCCCCGTGAGCTCCCTGCAGGGAATCCCTGTGGGATTTTCTGCCAGCTGGGACCCAGCCCCTGAGGAGTATCTGGAATCATCAGCCAGGAGGAGAGCGGCGAGATCCTTGGATCCAGTGTGGATCTGATGTGATCTGGTATGGATTTATTTGGAATCTGATGTGGATCTGGTGTGGATCCAGCATGGATTTAATGTGGATCTAAAGTGGATCCGGTGTGGATTTACCGCCCCACCTCCCCTCGGCTGAGCTCAGATCCGGCTCCGACTCCGGGAGCGGGACCCGGCCCCTTCCCACCCCGAGCAGAAGGGATTTGGGACCCTTTGGGATTTTGGGAAGCCGGGCTGGGGCTGCAGGGGGATTGGGGTTGGATTTTCCGCTTGGGCTGGGCCGAGGGGCTGGGGAAGGACCAAACCTTGGGAAGAGCAGGGACTGCACCACAGAATTCCATCCTGCAATTCCGGCAGTTCTGCATTCATCCAGCGACCCCCAAAGAGGGGCTTGGCGCCGCTTTTCCGGGGAAATCCACGGGAAACGCTCCCAGTGAAGGATCCGGGGCAGGATTTGGGGCAGGATTTGGGCTGTTCCACCCTCGGGACAGAAGCAGCTCCGGCAGGAGGTCCCAGGCCATTCCCAGCAGCAAACCCAGGCCTGGGGAGTCAGAATTCCAAGGAGAGGGATCAGGGCCTGCAGCGCCTCGCGGAGCCGGGAATGCACCCAGGAGAAAAGGGCCAGAGCTGCTTGGACCCTCAGAGGAGTTTCTGCTTCTCCTCTTCCTCCTTCTTCTTTCTCCTTCTCCTTTCTTCTGCTTTTTCCTTCTTTTCATTCCAGTTTTTCTTCCTTCTTCTTTTCCTTTTCTTCTTTTTCCTTCTTTTCCCTTCTTTCTTCTCCTTTTCATTCCAGTTTTTCTTTTCCTTCTTTTTCCTCTTTTCTTCTCCCTTCTTTTTCCTTCTCTTTCTTCTCCTTTTCCTTCTCCTTTTCATTCCCGTTTTTCTTCCTTATTCTTTTCCTTTTTTTCTTTCTCCTTCTTTCTTTTCCCTCTTCTTTCTTCTTTTCATTCCAGTTTTTCTTTTCCTTCTTTCTCCTCTTTTCTTCTCCCTTCTTCTTTTTCCTTCTCTTTCTTCTCCTTTTTCTCCCTTCTCCTTCTTTTCCTTCTTCTAGTTTTTCTTCCTTCTTTCTCTTTTCCTTCTTTCTCCTCCTTTTTCCTTTTTTCTTCTCCTTTCTCCTTCTCCTTTTTTCTCCTCCTTCTTTTCCTTCTTGTTTCTCCTTCTTTTTCCTTCTTCTTTACATTCCAGTTTTTCTTCCTTCTGCTTCTTTTTCCTTCTTCTCCATCCCCCGCAGTGTTGGAACAACTCCTTCCCATCCAAGCTGGATCTGGAGCAGCTGTGATGGCAGAAAATCCATGAATTCCCAAAATTCCATCCTCAAATCCCAAATAAAACCCCTCGGAGCCGAGGCTGGTACAGTGAATAAGCCGTTTTTATTTTTTTTTTTTTTTTGTCCTGTGCTCACAACAATCTCTCTTCTCTCCCTGACAGGTCACAGATCATTCAAATCAAAAAAAGTTTCTAAGAGGAAACAAAAAAGAAATAATTTAAACCACACGCACAGGGCTCTCTCTCCCTTCCAACCTCCCCACATCCCAACTTGTGCTTCATTCCCGGGGAGCCGGAGGGGGCTCGAGGCTCCCACCCGGCCAATCCCAGCTCCAAGCATTCCCGAAAAAACCTGGAAAACATTCCCACAAACCCACACGCATCGTGCCAGCGGGCCTTCCCTGCTGCTTCTCCAGGTGGAAGGACCACCCTGGAATCCTGCTCGGATCCCGTGCACAGGACTGGCTTGGAAAAGCCGTTATTTCATTTTATTCATTTTTTTAAGCTTTTTCTTTTTTTAAATTTATTATTTCTATTTTTTTTTTCATTTCTATTTTGGTTTTTATTGGTTTTTTTTGTGTTTTGTTTTATTTTTTTTTTTTTTGTTTTTGGTAAAGTCAGAACACTCCCAGCTGTGCTATATGGAAATACAGCTCTAGGACGGTCTTTGTTTTTTTTTTTTTTTTCTGGTTGCTGGTAAAGTCAGAACACTCCCAGCTGTGCTATATGGAAATACAGCTCTAGGACGGTCTCCGAGGTGTGGAGACCTGACGGTGATCAAGGCACTACCCCCACCCCCCTCCTGAAAAACAAAGGAAGTCAGACCAACACCTCTAGGGACAGAAGAGAATCCTATAATGTGATCACACGGTTACACGGAATCTTTATGGCAAAGAGAACATTGAGCAGCTTTCAACGTTTGGGCTTCTCCCTTTTTTTTAAATTTTTTTTTTGGCTTTTTTTCTTTTTTTCTTTTTGTAATTTTTTTTTTAGGTTTTTTGTTTGTTTCTTTGTTTCTTACTCAACACAAGCACTTCTAGACCCTAAAAGGGGGGAGGGAAAAATAAACAAATCAAGGCTGGAACCCCTGAAAACCCCAAAACAAGCGTGGTTAAGGGACCTGCAGCTGTTGAACGCTCGCGGTGACAGCCCAAGGCCGGGGCTGAGGTTGGCATCGGGGTCCCAGCGCTCCCCTTGTGCTGTTCCTGACCCCAAATCCCTTCCCAGGAGAGGCAGGCGGGGGCCGAGTGCTCGGGAAGGATCCTGCTGCTCCTCCCTCCCTTCCCCATCCCAAAGCTCTGCGCGGATCCCCCTCCTTGTCCTTCCTCCCAGGACGGGTTTCGGCCTTTCCTCGGGCTGGAAAGGGTTAATGGGAGTCACCCCTGGCTCTGCTCTCCTCGGGCTGGAAAGGGTTAATGGAAGTCACGCCACTTTTGTGTCTCTCCACGTGTGCCCTGGTCTGATCTCCATCGAGGAAGGAGAAATCCGGAATATCTCACACACACCGATGGCAAAAAAA